AGAAAGAAAGAAAGAAAGAAAGAAAGAAAGAAAGAAAGAAAGAAAGAAAGAAAGAAAGAAAGAAAGAAAGAAAGAAAGAAAGAAAGAGAAAGAAAGAAAGAAAGAAAGAAACCACTAAAAATCTAAAAGCAAGGGCTTTCTCCAGGGAGTTCAGGAGGCCGGCACAGAATGGCCCCCAGCATCCGGCCTCAGCAACTGTTTCTTCCACCAGCCAAAGACATTCCCAAGCGCAAGAGGAAGCGGGTCTCGGAAGGCAACTCGGTCTCCTCCTCTTCCTCCTCTTCATCCTCATCCTCTAACCCAGAGTCTGTGGCATCCACCAACCAGATCTCCCTCGTGGTAAAGTCACGCAGATCCGAACTTCACCCCAGTTCTGTGTGGCCTGTGCCCCACCCTCGGGCAGGGCCGCCCACAGCTCCAGGAACCGGGAGGCACTGGGCTCTGAGAGGGACTCCACCAACCTCAGAGGTGCAGGCGCACCCACTGGCTTTGCCCACGAGATAGACGGAGGGGTCTGTGCCATCAATCAATCGGCGCAGGGCTTGAAGTGTGGGTGTTACCAGCGGTGTGTGTAACTGAGGACAGCGGGAGCCAGAGGGTAGACGGTCACATGACAGAACTCAACCTCCGTCATCTGTCGGCCATGTTGCTGAGTTTGGCCCCTTGCCTGATTCAAAGGAAAACCTATGTAAAGCACTGGGTGTGGTGGCTTATGCCTGTAGTCCCAGTAGTGGAGACGGGGAGGATCAGGGGTTCAAGGCCAGCTTGGGCGACATGAGACTCCGCCTCAAAAGAAAACTGCTAACCAGGGGGCTGGGGGTGTGGCTCAGTCAGCAGGATGCTTGCCTTGCGTGCATGAAGGGCTAGATCCCCAGCATCGCATAAACTGGACCTGGTGGCATACGTCTGTAATCCCAGCACTGGAGAGGTAGAAGCAGGAGGATCAGAAGTCAAGATCAGCCTCAGGACATGAGAAATTTGAGGCTAGCCTGGGTTACATTAGACTGTCTCAACAGAAAGGAAAGGAGGAAAAGAAGGGAGGCTGATTTTAGGATTTCTAGATCCTTTGTGTGCCCCTTCAACTCCATTCTGGATACTTTTTTTTTTTTTTTTTACAGGCCTTCTATTTGCATTATTATGGTTTTTTTTTTTTTTTTGGTTTTTCAAGGCAAGGTTTCTCTGTGTAGCTTTGAAGCCTGTCCTGGACTGGCAATGTAGACCAGGCTGGCCCCGAACTCACAGAGATCCACCTGCCTTTGCCTCCCTAGTGCTGGGATTACAGGCGTGCACCACCACCGCCCGGCCTGGGTACTTCCAAAAGCCCAGAATTTGCATTTTCTGCTACCTTCATTTTTATCATTGAGTTCTCCTTCCCCCGAGAGGTGGTGGGACAGTGTCTGTAGGGTGAAGCTGGCATATGGTGTTTACTGCGCCTGCTCACTCGGCCCTCGCTGGTGTGTCCGATCCACATGTTGAACCCCTGGAACACAGGTCCCGTCCCCCCCCCAGGCTGTACCTGTGTGACCTCAGAGAGGTCTCTTGCCCTCCCTGGGCCTCAGTGGCTACGTCATAAGTAGCATTGGAGTTCTCCCTCAAGGAAAGCGAGCTAGTTTATTCTGGGAGTTCCTTCATGTCACCTGCAGTCCTAACCTGGTCCCTCTGTCCCCCCTCTCTCTAGCAGTGGCCAGTGTACATGGTGGACTATTCCGGACTAAACGCGCACCTTCCAGGTCCCCTTGATTATTAAACCTCAGAGCCGAATCAGGACCTCAACTCAGAAAGACTAAAGGAAATGTAATTTATGTACAAAGTATATTCGGATATGTATCGATGCCTTTTAGTTTTTCCAATGATTTTTACACTATATTCCTGCCACCAAGGCCTTTTTAAATAAGTAAAAAAAAAAAGAAAAAGAAAAAGGAAAAAAAAGTGTTTATTTTTCTGGCTACACGTACGCTTTTGGTGGTGTGGCCCCGGCAGCCACCCAGGGACCGAGTCAGACAAGACACCAACCTGCTCAGGTGCCCCATGCCATACTCTGGAGTCTCGAGTTTCTGGACACTAGATTGGTGGTGTCCGGGGACAGCACTTATTTTCTTTACTGCAGCCGCAGGAGGAGCCACAGAGAGCTTGCCCAGCCTCCACAGAGCCGTGGGTTCCACCCCAGCACTGCCTTTCCTGGGTGTGGTGGTGCACACCTGTGACCCCAGCACTCGGGAGGTCCCGGAGTTCCCATTTGGGGCTGGGGAGATGGCTCCGTGGGTAAAGTGTACCTTCCTTTGCCAGCATGACAACCTGACTTCAGAACCCCGGTATCCGGGTAAAAATCTATGCACGGTGGTGGCGACATCCTCCTGTAACACCGCGGTGGTGGGAGGCTGGAAAGGAGGATCCCTGGAGCCTGCTGGTCCGCTAGCCTAACTGACTGCGTTAGTGAGCTCTGGGTTCAGAGAAGGAGCCTGTCTCCAAAAATAAGATGGAAAGGGATGGCAGGATGGCTTGCTTAGTGGGTGAAAGGTTCATGCCATCAAGCCTGACATCCTGAGTTCAATCCCAGGCTGACTCCTATACATGACACTCTGACCTCTGCACATACGCTGTCATGTGGGAACACACGTACATTGAGTGTGATTTTTAAATTACATATATGTATTTAAATGTATAACTGAAGTAGTCGAAACCATATGTTCTTTGTTGTTGTCGTTTGTTTTTGAGACAGGGTTTCTCTGTGCAGCCCTGGCTATTCCTGGAACTCACTTTGTAGACCAGACTGGCCTCAGACTCACAGAGATCCACTGCCTCTGCCTCCCGAGTGCTGGGATTAGAGGCGCGCGCCACCACCGCCACCTCGGTTTCTTACATAACTGACAATGACCTTGAGGTCTTCCTGTGGGCGGCTCGCAACGCTGGGGTCACAGGCTTGCGCTGTCACGCTCAGCATTCGCTGTCACACTCAGCCCTCTTTCTCTTCAAGACTCCATCATAAATCACCATCCTTTTTACAGAAACTGCCTCTTCCAGTGGAGATGGCTGGCCCTGTGGCACACCTGTCTCACACACACACACACACACACACACACACACAGACACACACACA